AGAGGGAAAAACAAAAACCAAAAAATGGTTAGACAGGATTCAACCACAGGCCAAACCCTGGGAAAAGGCAATAACTTTAACAATACTCCTGACGTGCACATCCAAACATAGAGAGGCCTAGGAAGCGCTTCACGTGGGGCCACTTGCTACGGGGGCTACCTGCTTACCGCATCTACCCACAAAAACTGCGGTAAAGCCCTGGAGTTAAAGAGAGAGGCTGGGCTCTGTGAGAGGACCTCAGGCAGTGGAGAGGGACTGCTCAGGAAGAAACTGTTTGGAGTGGGCACAAAGAGCCTTGGAAGCTCAGAGGAAGGACTGGCAGCCTGCTCAGCTGGAAGGATAGCAGCCCTCGGGCACTCCCTGCACCCCTGTATCTCCCGCCCCCACAGTAGAGGCCTGAAAACTTGTGAGCCAGGAAGGCTCACAGTGCTTAAACAGTATACAAAAACAGTGACCAACTTAACCACAGGCCCAGCTCCAGGGAGACCTACAACACTTCTAATACTTCCCACCCCCCCATGGGCACATCCAAACATAGAAGGAACCTGGGACATCTAAAGGCTACAAAGATCAACAGGCACCGTGAGAGACAAGGGCTCCTGTGTTACTGGAAGAGGCTGAACACCACAAGAGAACAGTGACTGTAACAGGCTGAGATGACAGACACAATTCTGAGAGTGGGCTGGAAAAATAGGAGATATTGAAACAAAGCACAACTCAGAATATCCTCCACAACTGAAGTGTCTAGAAGTCCCTCAACCATTCCAGAAATAACATCCAGAAAGAATGCCAGTCAATAGTAGCAGCATTTGTCTCAGTGAACAGAAAGTAGTAGAGGCCCTCCCTGGTGGCACAGCGGGTTAAAGCACAGCACTAAGAAGCATAAGCTACTTCTGCATGAGTTCGACCCCCGCCTGCCCCGGAGGTGACCACATGGTGAGGCAGACCTCTCCTGACCCGCCCGCTGCTTCCTTCAGCAGTGTACTTCGTCGATATGCCTGTTCTGCTCCCCACTCTGTCCCTGGTGAATCCTCTCACCCTCCACATCTCTGGCCTGTACCCCAGTTCCGTATGCACAAATAAATAAATCT